ATTGTTTCGGATAGAGATCCGCGGTTTACTTCGAGATTTTGGGAGAGCCTGCAGAGTGTTTTGGGTAATAAGTTGCGTTTGAGTTCAGCGTATCATCCTCAGACTGATGGTCAGACGGAGAGGACGATTCAGTCGCTTGAAGATCTTTTGAGAGCTTGTGTATTGGAAAAAGGAGGAGCTTGGGATAGCTACTTGCCTTTAATTGAGTTTACCTACAACAACAGTTTCCATTCGAGTATTGGTATGGCACCATTTGAGGCGTTGTATGGTAGGCGGTGTAGGACACCATTGTGTTGGTTCGAGTCCGGAGAGAGTTCTGTTGTCGGACCCGAGCTAGTTCAACAGACTACTGATAAGATCAAGATGATTCAAGCGAAGATGAGAATTACTCAGAGTCGTCAGAAGAGTTATTATGACAAAAGGAGGAAGGCACTTGAATTTCAAGAGGGAGATCATGTGTTTCTTCGAGTCACTCCGATGACAGGTGTTGGTAGGGCACTGAAGTAGCGCAAGTTGTCGCCGCGTTTCATTGGTCCTTATCAGATTTTGCAAAGGATAGGAGAAGTAGCCTATCGTGTGGCTTTACCACCGTCGCTTGCTAATCTTCACGACGTATTCCATGTATCTCAGTTGAGGAAATACATTGTGGATCCGTCTCATGTAGTCCAAATAGATGATGTGCAGGTGAGAGATAACCTGAATGTTGAGACATCACCTATGCGGATTGAGGATCGGAAATTGAAACAACTTCGAGGTAAAAAGATTGCTTTAGTGAAGGTCGCTTGGGGAGGACCGGCTGGTGGAAATGTTACTTGGGAGCTTGAGAGTCGGATGAAAGAGTCTTATCCAGAGCTGTTTGAATCAGGTAACATTTTCGAGGACGAAAATTCCTAAAGTGGGGGAGAGTTGTAACAGCCCAAATTTCATTAAATAATTAATTGTAATAATTAATTGATTTAGTGGGATTTTATTTAATGTTGGAATTAATTTTTATTAATTGGTATGGATAGAAAATTAAGAAGGAATTGGAGAGGAAGGAAAATGAAGGAAATATATAAGAGAGAAAGAAAAGAAAAGAAAGATAGAAAAACATTTGGAAAGAAAGAGGAAAGAAGAAGAAAGGAGAGAAAAAGAAGAGAAGAAGAGGAAAAGTGGAAATCATCAAGAACCAACATCAAAGCTCCGATTAATCGAGGTAAGAGTGAGAAATGTTTCTATTTGATCATTGTATGATGTTATGTATGTTGGGTTGGGGTTTTGGTAGAGTTTTCATCACTTTCCAATTAGGGCAAAAGTTGGAATAATCGGTAGATTGATGATTTAATCGGTTGAAACTGAGCAATAATGTCGTAGAATAGTCGGGTAACATGTATTGATGCTGTTTGTACTGATTTTGTTGTGTGAGAAGTTGGATGATGGTGGATTGTGGAGGAGGAACAGAATAGGGTTCTGTTCTACGCAGGTTCGCTGGCTCTCGCCAGGCGAGCGAAGGCGAAGCTTCGCCAGGCGAAGCCTAGTGAATGCTGGCGAGTAATTATGATTAAGTCCCAGTGGACTTCGCTGGCGAGTTCGCCAAGCGAAGGTTCGCCCAGCGAAGGTGCTGGCGAATGGAGGCGAATGAAGTCAGTAGCTACTGACTTGGGCTCGCTGGGAAGTCTCGCCAGGCGAAGCCTAGCGAGTGTTCGCTGAGGGAGTTCGCCAGGCGAAGGTTCGCTGCGAGGGTTCGCCAGGCGAATGAAGGCGAATGTGACAGCATTTTTCTTTTGCTGTGTCGTTCATGTGGAGATGGTTTGGTTGCTCCTCATAGGTTAATACCTCTATGATATGATATAGATATGATCTATTGTGATGATGTGTGCTGTGGGTAGCCTACGGGCGTGAATCCTAGTTGATGTGCGATGCGTATTAATTGTGATAAATAGAAATACATGTGAATACAATGATGAATGTATGTGTATTGTCTAATGAACTTGCGAATGCTTAATGGGTATACAATTATGTGATGAGTATGCATGAGAACATTGTGGATATGTGTGCATGACTTATAATTGTATAAATGGTATTGTGATGTGAATACCTTGATTGTGTGATATATGTTGTATGTGCAATCATCGTGTAATTCTTGAAGAGATGAATTATGTAAATGCATGAGATTAAGATGTCGGTCTTAAGTGCATTTGTTGTGGTTGATTGTACATGCATCATTTAGTCAAGAGGCAATGTCTGTTAGTTTCGTGGAAACTAGTGGCTTGTCCCAAACCTAGAAGTGTGGGTTTGAAGGCTTAGAGGACGGGCCTTTGTGGTTATCGGTCTAGAAGTGTGGACCCGGTTTAATGTAAAAACCGAAAAAAGATAACGGGTTATCGGTCTAGAAGTGTGGACCCGGTTTAATGTAAAAACCGAAAAAAGATAACGAGAGTCGGTACCGCATTGCATGAGTTGCATTGAGTTGTTGAGTCACATTGATATATGACATGTGCATGAAGTGATGCTTATGTGTGAATGATGAGATTGTGGAAATTGTAAGTGTATACATAATGTGGGAATGCTTTGTGGATATCCATGTTTGTATATATACATGTGTGGTATATATATATGACTAAGAGAATGAAGTGTGGTGAGAAATGTGAATATGTGTTACATGATTACCTATATATATATATATATATATATATATATATATATATATATATATATATATATATATATATATATATATATATATATATATATATATATATATATATATATATATATATATATATATATATATATATATATATATATATATATATATATATATATATATATATATAATCTTATGCTTTGATTATTATGGTTATATTTCTCACCCTTCTGCTGTTTTATAATGCTCTATGAGGCATTGCAGATTAGGATGCTGGAGTCCTTTTGTGAAGAATAGTCTTCATTCTTTTGAGTCTGCTGCTCTAATATGTAACACCGGGTAGTTAGACTAGTATAGTCATTCTTTTGTGATACATTGCGATGTATCCGTTGATGTGATTGTGTAATCTAACTGATATGATGTATTAATTTGGATTAACTTGTGTGTACGTGGATTAATATTTTGAAAACGATAAAATGATTTGATCTTCCGCTTAATTTTGAAAATGTTACATATCTTGTGGAGAAAAATGTGAAAGTGTTTTATTGGTGAAATTGTGGCATTCTTCTTTTATACCTTATTATAAAACCTTTTTACTCTGATAATTTGTATGTGCTTAATTGTTTTATATGCATTTATTTGGGGTATAGAAAGGGGTGTTACAGAGTCTATAAACGGGAAAACACTCACGCCTAATAGCCATGTGTAAACATGACAGGCCTATTTGACTTATCGAAGAAAGCTGTCATGAGGTGCAGTTAATGCTACCAATGCCTTTTCTCATCAACCACTCAATTTGACAAAGTTGGTTGACATCCCATAAATACTGACATGTTTTGCCAAACCTTCTGAACACTCGTGTCGCATAGGCATAGGCAAGACCGAAGCACTTTCGACTGAGGGACTTGCTTGCTATTTTCCCACCTTACATTGAGGGACTTGCCATGAAAAAGGCATCGACCTCATCCAGGAAAACCGCCTGCAAGATGAGGGGCGCCTCAGAGAAGAAAATTGGTTTCAAAACACTCTGCTCTTTAATAGAAAAGACCCTCATGCTTGAGGAGCCGCGTAGGGTCATTTTTGGAAAAAGCCATAGATCAGGATGCTCATCACCTAACAAATGAGTCGCCCGGACGCAGTCCAGTGGAGTCGCTCACGCGCCCCATTCAACATATAAGTTAAGTAAGAAAAAGTCCTTGTTGACTCCGAAGACATAGTTGATAAACAACCTCCATAAAAAGAGGAAAACATATGAAACCACATTGAGGAAGCTATAAACCTAGCCCTGGAGAATTTGTATAAATAAATTACCCCATTATAGGGAAAAATGATCTAGTCATATTCACCCAATACGACTTAGAGAACACTTCGCTCCTAATAACCCTAACACCGATAAGTTAATCGTCTGCCTGCAACCTATCATCATCGATTGCCAGCAAAATCTCTCAACTCACGTGAGTTGGTCCCTTAAACAACCTAAAAAACCACCGTTCAGAGCTACTCGACATAGTGAGTTAGCCCACACCTAATTAGTGTAATATATCTAATATCTACTAAATATTTATCTTCGTCTTATATTCGCGTGTTCTTAAATATTTAGTGAGTTAACCCTCACCTAATTAGTGTAATATATCTACTAGAGCATTTGAATCTCCCTATCCTTGTAAGAGAAACGCACACTTTATACTTTTTTGACAATACAAAGATAATTTTCACACTTATTAAAAATAACGGTTAAATATATTTAATTTTCTTAATTTCATGTAAAAAGACATAACACAATTACTAACACAATCTTAACTAAAATATCATCTCTAATAATATAAAGGAATTAATGCGAGAATGATTTTAGATAATTAATGCACGAAGGGATTTAACAAGTTGCATGCATTATGAACTAAACAAGACAAAATATATTTTCAACAATAAAAATGATATTATTCGTGTGTTCTTAAATATTTAGTGAGTTTTGTATCCACAAGCATTTTTAGATAGAGTATAAAGGTAGTGCAGTATACAAAAATATTATACAAATATTCAATCAAAATATTTTATATTGTCAAATTATATTAATATTTTAAAAATAAAATTATAATGTGGTAAAATATGTCTTTTATTGATTGACAGTTACCGTTACTTTTTCTATTCTAGATTCTCATGAATATTAAAAATAATGTGTTCATTTTAGAAAAAGTATTTTTATCTTTAATATATGAGTAGAGCTTTGTTCACCACAAAATTAATTAAATTTAAAAATATTGATTATAAGTAAAATAAAAAACACAGTATAAGAGTAAAACGAAAACGGAGGAGAAGAAAAGCGAAGGGTTTATGAGAAAGAGGGGCTTTTAAGGTGTGTAATTGAAAAACAAGAATGGGTGGTAGTGGAAGTGGAAGAGGCGCCGCGAAAGGAATTGGCATGGGAATCGGAATCGGGCGGAGCGCTGGAAATCGAACCGTGCTGATAACCGGTGTTAGCAAAGGCATCGGTAGGTCTCTGGCGATCGAATTGGCGAATCGCGGGCACACCATCATCGGCTGCTCCCGAGCTCAGGAAAAACTCGATTCCCTTCAATCTCTACTGAGCAGCAACAACAATCAGCATCTCTTCCTCAACGCCGACGTGAGTTGCAACAACAGTGTGGCAGAGATGGCAACAGTTGTGATGGAGAAAAAGGGCGGTCCACCGGATATCATAGTGAACAATGCAGGAACGATTAACAAGAACAACAAGATGTGGGAGGTTCCGGCGGAAGAATTCGATCTTGTAATGGATACGAATCTGAAAGGCAGTGTGAATGTGCTGAGGCATTTTATTCCTTTGATGTTGAAGAAGAATGAAGGGGAAGGGATAATAGTGAATATGTCATCTGGTTGGGGGAGATCTGGTGCGGCACTTGTAGCACCTTACTGTGCGTCTAAATGGGCAATTGAAGGACTGACGAAGTCGGTGGCGAAAGAGTTGCCGCAAGGAATGGGAGTTGTGGCGCTTAATCCGGGAGTGATTAACACTGATATGCTTGCTTCTTGCTTTGGTGCTTCTGCATCTATGTATCAGTCTCCAGAAATATGGTTAGTTATTCATTCATTCAATCTAGTATTTTTTGTTTTCTTCAACTTATAATAATAATGAGTTTAAAATGAATGAATCAGGGCTTTGAAGGCAGCCACCATGATACTCAATCTTACTCCCGCAGACAATGGCGCTTCTCTCTCCGTTTGAATCAAGGAATGAATACCAACTTCGAATGAAGGAATGAATACCAACTTCATTTGCAATATATTTTGTTTTTTTAATCATCAAGTTCAGAATCATATGATATGATTGTATAATTCTCAAGCTACTACCAATCTATCATTGACACTCTAAGTAAAGGTAGAGTCTTGGGTATTTTTATAATATGAATTCAAGTATTGTATATATCACTTATAATGCTGAAACTTTAATCCATTCAAAATAATAGTAATAATGAACTACATCTTCAGTGTAGTCGCAGCCATAGATCCATATGGTCCGGTCCAACTACCTTTGCTATTTAGCCCATCACCAAATTGTTACATATCTGGATTCTTTGCTATACAATTTTTTAGCTGTTCATTTGAAGTCACAATGCTATACATTTTTTAGGTAATAAAAGATTTCAGCTGTTGATTTGAACTGGATTGGTTCAACAAATTTAATACAACCTCTGCCGATTATTTTGATGGGACGACTGGAAATTGTAATTGTATCAGGAGGTTACAGCAATAGAGCTGTTATGGTGGAATCAGATAGAGTAGGAAAGTATAATCTATATCCCACTATTTCTTTTGTCTCCAATTGAATGAACAACAGTCAGTATTCAAACATAAATTGATGGCCACTAATTCAATTGTACATACATTCCTAACAAAATACAGTGGTATCAAATATACATTCCTAGCAATATAGTGACTTTAAAATTAAAAACCAAATGTATATTTACAAATGTAAGTTATCAATGCCGACGAGTATACTTTCTAAAAGATACCTTCCTTGAAAGGACCAGAATCATGCAAGAGTTTCATAACCATCTTCACCTGTAGAGGCAATAATGTCCCATTAATTACTTTAGAATCACATTACTACGGACTATAATAATAATAATGAAATAGAGCAAAATGCCTTATTATAAAAATCATTGGAGACTGAATAAATGTAGAATCTTTGGTGCATCATACATACCTGAGAAGTTTCACGAACTAAAAAATCTTCAATGGCTTTGCTAAATTCTTGATCAATAAGGTAATGGCAGCTATATGTTGTCACAGGAAGATACCCACGGTCAATCTTATGTTCACCCTGAGCTCCTGCTTCTACTGTTTTAAGATTGAGTTCAATCGCTGCATCAATTGCCTGTCATGTCCAAACACAACTTAAATATAGTAACCCGTTTCCCTAATATTATTTTTCAAGGATAAAATTGTATTACCGAGACAAAGAAAGGGAGATTCAGGGTATGCCCTTAAGAAATAAACATTATGGTTGTGCACTAGTCTTTGGTTGACAAAGTAAAATAAAATATAATGTATTTGGTACTGTACATACATACTACAAAGAGCTTTGCACAAAATCAGTATGAAAGATTAAATAGGCCTTTGACAGAAATCATGGGGTCATGGGTTTAGGTTTAAAGTAAAACAGCCACTTTTAACAACAGAAAATACAACAAAATGGGACCTACGGTAAAAATTTGGTTTATTTTTAATTCCTACCCTTAGTGGAACCAAAGATAATAGAACAAATATCAGCTTTGGTTTGATCTGTTCATGTGCCAAACACTTCCCACAACGAAGCTAGAAGGAGAAGTCCGTTCCATAAATGATTTAGATGGGAAACTATAGCACTGTTCTCCAACCATAAAACCCAAACCCAGCAAAAACGTAAATAATACACGAGGGGAAAGATAATGGCAAGTATGAACCTGATAATAGCATGCTTCAAAATGCAAAAATGGATAGTAAGTTTCCGGCTGACACCCCCATAGACGCCCAAACAAAGTATCTCCTCCGATAAGGTTTAGGGCACCCCCAACTAGTTCACCCCCATCTTCAGCAACAATAAGCAGTACCTGATCTCCCATTTTCGACCCCATCTCGTGAAAGAATTCCCTTGTCAGAAAAGGGGTACCCCATCTGTCAATATATCAGAAACCATACTATATATTAATACTGTGCTGCTTCCTATATCATCAAATAAATTTCATATCACAATATGGTGGTTCAGTTAGCATCACATACTTGTTATCAGTTGTGTTCCTGTAAAAGGTGTAGAAGGAATCCCAATGCTTTGCCTTTCAATACAAGTGTAAGTAATTAGAAAGTATCGAAACCTAAAATAGGAAACAAAGTGAAAACAATACAGTATTTTTATAATTAAAAGTAAAAACAAGAAATGAAAACAAAAGTCGTTTTCACAAACCAAACATGCCCAAAAGTTTTAGCAATAAAATAATTCATAGTAGAGTTTTAAAGGACTAAGAACTGTTGTCAGTTCAGTTGGGTAAAAATCAAGAAGATAGTTATTATATAGAGAGAATGCTATGATGAATATATCTTCCAAATGATTTTAACTACATGATATGAAGTCGCTGAAGACTATATGATTATATCATTTCAATAATTAATTGGATAACCTAGAGTCCCAGTGAAACTTTGGTAATTTGGCCACTAATTATTCGGTGTTACACGCCAATGTCTTTCAGATGTTTAATGGTTTTATTAAGAAATGGTTTTTTCTTTCCAAGTCATTTGAGGTTTAGAAGTTTGGTCTCCATTTGCACTTTTTCAAACCCTAGTGTCTAGTCTGTACACGGATCGAAATCGGAGACCATACGAGCAGCAATTCACCCTTAGTTCGGCTTTAACTAAGACACGATGATGACAAATATGCTACCGTTGTATTAGAAAATTCTTGTCACAGGAAAAAGTGCACTGCAGTTCTGATATATCCTATCCTTTGTAAAATTTTCTTCTTTTACGCAACACAGATAAACATAGAACTAGGAAGAATTCATACAAAATTTCCATCCAGAAGACATGGTAAATTGGCATCCGCCAGTTCAACAGAAGCTTACTCATGTCCAATAGACATAAAAGCACAATTTATGAAGTCAAATAATAAATTGCATAAAGCACACACTACACATATAATCTTGATTAAATGTACACATAATGCAAAATACCTTAATTTCATAACCCCGGAGCCGTTTCATAACCAAGTTCTGAGCTGCAACCTGCAGATAAATATATCATTTGATTTGCGTGTCTAAAACCATGAGGTCACCTACATCCCAGTTTCTTGTGCATAGGGTGGATACCAGAAAAAAAAAGAGGCATTTTGTATTACTTTATGATTATGCAACTGGCAGGTGAAGAAAATGGGAATTGGAATGAATTTGACTAACCTTCTTGCGCTCTTGACGTATCTTTTTTCTTTTATTATGCTTCAAGTCCATCAAGAATTCATCAAAACTGGCAGCATGAAGTAATAAAAGTAAACAAAAAGTGCGATAACACAAGGTAAGTGAGAATGTAATGTACAAGGAATTGTTTTGTGGCATACTTTTTGTAGTTGAGGTTGGTCCAGTGATACTGCATTCCAATCCTGGGGAGAAAACCTTTTTGAGTGAACTTGTGCCACTCATTTTGAGAGGGGAAAGTGACATGAAACGACGAAAGGTGAGACATGGCAGTGAGATCCTTGATTGCAGAGAGTATAAAATCGAAAACATGATTTTTGATAGAAGTATCACGAATTAAAATCCTTGGACCAGTGACTGGAGTGAAGGGAACACAGGATTGTAACTTAGGGTAATAAGAGGAACCATAGTTGTAATAAGCATTAGCCCAAGAATGATCGAAAACGAATTCACCGTAGGAATGAGTTTTGAGATAGAGAGGAACAACGGCGAGGATTTGATCGGATTGATCTTTGGCAAGCAAGTGGTGTGGGGTCCATCCTTTATCTTGGACGGCGGAATGGGAGTGTTCTAAGGTGGATAGGAAAGCGTGGGAGAGGAATGGATTGTATTTGTGGTGGCCGGTGGCGTCGAGAGCACAGGCGTCCCATTGAGTGGATGGGATTTGTGAGATTGAAGATACAAAAGAAATAGTGATGTTGTTGTTGGTGAGAGGGAAGGTGAATTGTTGGTGGTGTGATGAGGAATAGGTGTTGCGTTTGGGGGTTGGTTCCCAAAAGAAGGAAGCATTGATTGTTCTGTGGGAAGTGAATTTGGGAGGCGGGCACCTTACTCCCACAACTGCTGTTGCTGCTGCCATCCCCAATTGTTCGGGACACTCATTTCTCTGCCACGTTGCATATTTATTTATAACTTCTTCTTAGATTGGATTGGCTTATGGACAAACTACTTTGATATTTTTCATTTTCAAAAATCAACCAACACAATAAATACATACCTTTTACTATATTACATGAATTTCAACACAACCAAAAAAAGTACGTAAGTAATTAAAAATATTAATTAAATCATAAATTATATAAATTAATTATTTTTTCATCTAACTCAATCACATACACCATAATCACATCAAATATCTTGACACGAATCAACTTTTAACAAATATTAAGAATAAATCTACCCAAAAATAGTAATTTCTTCGTATTGTATTGAATAAAATTCACACATCACCTTCATTTTAAAGTTATATTAAACCATCCAAATCCTTTCCGCATGAGTTTGCATTATAGAATTTGAATATAAGAAACACCTTTTTAAAATGGTTTTAAATTCTATAATTTGAAATTGTTTATCAACGTTAAAGTCCATTTTTTATATGACAAACCCTCTAAACTACACTAACATAAAAATAACCTATCATAATAACATTAAAAATAAATTTAACCAAAAAATATCTAAAATAATACATAATATAACATAACAGATGAAGTTGAATAAATTATAATATTATACATAAAATGCAACCTAGTTTAAATGAAAGGATCTCATAAAAGAATATAATATTGACTTCCTTAAAAATAGAGACCTAGTCCATAACTAAATAATCACACTAGAGTGAGACCTAGTCCATAACTAAATAATCACACTAGAAACCTTATTTGTTGATGTTGAACCATTCAACTATGTAAAAGGAACTTCATTCTCTATGTGAATTATTACTATAGAAAAATACATTAAAAGAATTATATAAAATCTAGTCTCTTTGCCGGCACATAAGAGACCTATTACCAGAAAATGAGTATACAAAGAGAATCACCTTTCAAATGGTTTCATTTTCAAACATAATTTTGTTGAAACAAAATTTATTTGTACTATATCCCTTAGATTTTGATGATAACAAACTATTTAAAGAACAATTAAGTATACTAATATTTGTTCAAGTGTGCAAGACCATATACTAAAATCTCATGAATAATCTAAATATTGATTTTAACTATGAGCATCTTATGAGAAACTTAAAAACCACAATCTAAAGGATAAAAAGTTGAAGAACAAACTCTAAAGAAGTCAATCTCTGAAAGTCAAAAGTATAAAGAAGTCAACCTCTGAAAACCAAACTTTAAAGAAGTCTTCCTCTATTTATCAAAACTTGAAGACTAATTAAAGCGCACGAACCAAGGTGACTCTGATAGGTTACTGTCAACCTCCGGACGTACTTTGTCTTCCTCTAATCACGTGAAGACCTAAACTTTTTTTTTCCACAGAGTCAGCTGGGATGCAACTGATAATTACTCTTGGTGCAAAGAAATTTTAAACAAGCTTTCAACGACATTAACCATTTGAAGAAATATCTCAACGTCTCTATTCAAACTTCTTAAGGACTCTTTTGTGTTGAATCTTCAATGAACTTTTTCCTTCTCTATTTAAGGAGTTAAATACTTCAAGAAAAATAACCAACAAATCATTGACATTCAAAGAGCAATTACTCTGTTAAAACACAAACACAAGTTTAACTTAAGATTTCTTACCTTTGTATATTCTAGAAATTCCTAAGTCTTAAAGAGTTCTTCTTGAGTTGTATTTTGTTTACACCTCTGATTGTATATCAAGTGTATTACCCCATACAATCTTTCATCTGTTAGGTATATTGTTAGAAGTCTCTTACTTAGTGTTTGAGATTTTGAAGTCTCTTACTTGTGTGCTTGAGCATAAACATTTCTTTCTTGTGTGATTGAGCATTAGAAGTCTCTTGCTTGCGTGCTTGAGCACAAAAGTCTCTTACTTTGTGTTTGACCATTGGAAGTTTCTTGCTTGTATGCTTGAGCATAAAAGTCTCTTACTTTGTGTTTGAGTATTGGAAGTCTCTTGCTTGTGCGCTTGAGAAAACTGTAATCTTGTGTGATTATAGTGAAAATCTCTTATAAGTACGAGGGACTAGATTACTCTTGAGTTGTGAGAGAAACCAGGATAACTCTGTGTGTCTCTCTTCTTTCTTGCACTACTTATATTCTACCTATTTCTTACCTTTGATTCAAATTCTATACTTTGTATTTAGAATATGACAAGAGCTTTAAAAAGAAAGAAAAAGTCAACACAATTCAACCACCTTCTTATGTTTTTCTCACCTTCAAACTCAAGGTTTGTTTGAAATTCTTACAAAAGCCAAGTCTCAACTTCACAATTTCTTTTTGCAGCAGTTGTAAGAATTTTGACAATCAGATTAATAGTAGTTATGGTTAACTTCTTGCAATGAAATCTTCTCCATTTATATGTTAAGCCTTCATTTCTCAATGTCTGGCTTGAGGAGAAATTTTATTGTAAAAAATCTTAGAGATTCATTATGAAGGTGAAGAAAATAAGATATTGAAGCTTAATAAGGCTCCCTATGTCCTGAAAAAAGGCCCAAGATCTTGGATTAAGAAAATTGACGAGTTTTTAAAGTAGAATAGTTATTCCAAGTGTACACTTGAACATCAAATTTATATAAGGATTGAATCTAGAAATCTCAACATAGTGTGTCTATATGTGGATGATCTAATCATCACGGAAAGCAATCATCATGAACACTAAATTTGATACGACTGACTTATAAAGCCTAAGTTACTTTTTTGACCTTGATTTTTATATCTTGAAGAGATTTAATGTTAAATTGTAACTCAACAAGTACTCATATGAAAGAAAATATGAAGATGTCAAGGTTGTTGAAAGAACTTTATACGAGCAAATTGTGAGAAATTTTATGAGACGAACTTGCAATTTTAGACTCGATATATGTCACAATATAGGTGTGATGAGAAAATTTATGCAAAAATTTAAACTGTCATATATGTCAACAATCAAGAGGATCATAAGATATCTTAAAGGTATAATAAACCATGGGCAAAATAACATTTTCCGTCTTTTAACTTTAACTCGGGGTCCAGTTTGGTCCCTTATCTTTAAAAAGTGTCAAGTTGGTCCTTTAACTTTTAAAATGGTGTCACGTTTATCCTTCCGTGTGTTGCCGTTAGTCAAACTTTGAAAAAAATGCCACGTTTGTCCAAGTGGAGCTGCTGACGTGGATATGAAGTGTCTTAGAGGAAGAAAAAACAATCTAACGTTTACATTACCCACCATTACCCAGAAAAAGACACAATTTGCTTGGAGAAGTATAATCATTGAATCATTAAAGACGATTCAAGGTTTGCAGACGCGAAGGATTGGAGGCGGAGGATTGAAGACGATTCAAGAGACATAATCAAAAGGTTAGTTCATTTCTCTCTGATTTAGGGTTTTCTGGTAGAGGCTTAGATTTAGGGTTTATGTAAATTTTTTAGTGTAAACTTTAATTATTTACATGATATGATTAGGTATCATGGATGAATACATAACTCTCAAAATTCATCATAGTGGTGAGTTCACAGATGAAGGTCGTAGTGTATATGAGAATGGAGTAGTAGATGATTTGAGGGTAGATGTAAACAGATGGAGTTATTTTGAGCTAGTTGGTGTATTAAAAGACTTAGGTTATAAGGAGTTTGGAACAATATTTTACAAGGACCCTCAATTTGGGATGAATCCACTTGTTGAGGACAATGGTGCTTTAGAAATTGCAGATCTGTATAGGGTGCACCAAAATGTTGATATTCATATTGAACACACATTGTCTCAACCTGACTACTGTGATGTTGTTGTTGATGAAGTTGATGAGGATCATGCTGAAATTGTAGATGAGGTAGAGGAGTTACTTAGTCAACTGCATGATAAAGTTGTGGAAGTTGAACAAACCACTGTTGGGTTGGAGGAAGGTGATGTTAGAGTTGATGAAGCCACTGTTGGGTTGGAGGAAGGTGATGTTAGAGATGATGAAGCCACTGCTGGGTTGAAGGAAGGGAATCTTGCAGGGGATGTTAGAGTTGATGAGGATCCTACAGTGGATGAACATACTGTAGGAGTTGAAAAAGGGAATCCTGCAGGGGAAGAAGGTAATGTTGGAGTTGAAAAAGAGAATCCTGCAGGGGAAGAAGGTAATGTTGGAGTTGAAAAAGGCAAAGCTGCAGTGTGTGATTACTTACGTTTATCATCTGATGATAGTGTAGATGAGGACTACAATTATGATAGTGCACAAGATGTTTCTTTTGAGGATGAGTCTGATGGGTGTGACAATGACAAGTGAGGACATGAAAATGATGGTAATGGAGAAGTCCTAGAAAATGATGGTAAAGGGAGTGACAATGACAGTGAGGACATGCAAAGTGGTTGTGACAGTGATGATAGCAGTGGAGTTCTAAGAAAAAAACATCCAATTTTCAGACAACCAAAAGACATGTCAGATTACAAGTGGGATGTGGTAATGTACTTTAGTTCAAAGGGTGATTTTAGGGAAGCAATAACAACTTATGCTGTGCAAAATGGTAGAGACCAAAGGTTTGTAAAAAATGGCAGAGTTAGGGTAAGGGTTAGATGTAAAGTTGGTTGTGAGTGGGAGGCTTATTGTAGCAAGTTGTCAAATGAAGACACTTGGCAACTCAGGAAAATAATTGAAAAAATACCGTCGTAGTAGAGAGTATAATGTAAAGCTGACGAGTACAAAGTGGTTGAGTGAAAGAATTCAAAATAGCTTGAAAAACAACCCAAGGTTGAGTATAAAGGATATAGGCACAAAAAAAGTGGAATGTTGGGGTCAACAAAACCAAAGCTATAAGAGCAAGATTTGCAGCTAAAGACTATGTTGATGGTTCCTTTTTGGGAGATTACACAAGGGTCTATGACTACTGTCATGAACTGTTAAGAGCCAATCCAGGGTCAATAGTTAAGCTTAATGTTGAGCCTATACAAGTAGGTTTTGAGGATGAAAGACTATATTTTAGAAGGCTTTACATATGTTATGTTGCGTGTAAGGAAAGCTTTAAGTTGTGCAGGCATGTAATAGGTCTAGATGGGTATTTTCTTAAGGGGTTGTGTGGATGGCAGATTCTAGCTACCATTGAGAGGGATCCTAATGATCAGATGCTTCCCATAGCATATGTAGTTGTGGAGAGTGAAAACAAGGATAGCTAGACTTGGTTTTTAGAGCTGTTAATTGATGACCTTGGAGGCAAAGATGAATGTCTGACTTACACCTTCATCTCAGACCAACAAAAGGCAAGTTTTTCATTTATTCTTATGGTTTTATGTGTTTATGTTATGTTATTCCTGTTATGCTATATTGTAATGCTACATTGTATGTTATTGCAGGGTCTGCTACCTACTATGGATGAGCAATTGCCAAGGGTGGAGCACAGGTTTTGTGTTAGGCACCTCTATAACAATTTTAGGAAAAAGTTTCCTGGAAAGCTGTTGAAGGACATAATATGGAAGGCTGCAAAGTCAACATACCCACAAGCATGGGAAAGAGAGATGAAGGGAATGAGGGTCATCAATGAAGAAGCATTTAAACATATGATGAAGACCCCACCAAGGTTTTGGAGTAGATCTTACTTTAGGACTGAAAATAAATGTGATGTTGTTCCCAACAACATGTCTGAGTCCTTTAATAGTGTCATTCTTGAAGTAAGAGCAAAATCTCTAATCACTATGTTAGAAGACATCAAAACATACATGATGGAGAGATGGGAAAATAACAGAATGAGATTTGGTACTTTGGATGAGAATGATATTTTGCCCAATATTAAAAAGAAACTTGATGTCACAAGCACATATACCAACAACTGGCTAGTAAGGTATGTCACAACATACATTAATTCTTTAGGATGTGTATGAAATACATGTGACTAATGTATTTTGTTTGTTTAATAATTTAGGATGTCTGGTGAACATATATTTGAAGTAAGGCACCTAGAAAATCAAGCTGACAAGTTTGTTGTGAACCTGAAAGATCAGATATGTTCATGCAGAAGATGGGAACTCACAGGACTCCCATGTGTTCATGCTCATTCTGCTATAAAGAGTAGGAATTTCAAAATTGATACTTACATTCCAGATTACTATAGGGTTTCAAAGGTACAAGGTAGTCTATAAGCATGTGATCTACCCTGTTAATGAAGCAAACTTGTGGGTTAAGACACCATATCCAGATGTGCAACCACCCAAGTTCAGGAATATGCCTGGTAGACCTAAAAAGAGGATGGACCTAGAACAAGGTGAAATTGATGGGTCTGCTCGCAAATTGAGAAGAACAAATTTTCTGGTGAAGTGTAGTAGGTGTAAGAAAGCAGGACATTACAAGTCTACATGTAAGGATACAACAACTCAGACTACTCAACAACCTAGCCAACAATCAACCCAACCCTCTCATACTCCAACTCAGACTGCTCAACAACCTAGCCAACACACTCCTACTTCAACAACTCATCCTACTCAACAACCAAGCCAACCCTCTCAGAACAAAGCAACACACACTGTTAAGAGAACTTCTGCTCAACAATCTAGCCAAGCATCTCAGACTTCTAAGGGAAAGGCTGCTCAGAAGACACATGGACCTGCTAAGGGCAAGACACAAAAGCTGCTTGTAAGGAAGTCAACAAGACCTTTTGTGCCACCTGGGCCTACAACTAGGTTGAGTGCTGCCAAGAATGTTGTTGGCCCAGTAACAAGGAAGTATACTCCAACAAAGAGGATCACGCCAAAGAAGAAACTCTAGTTGTGGAACATGTGTATTCAGTTACATAGACAACTCTAGTTGTGGAAAGTATTATAATGTTTATGTATTATGCTATTATTGTGGAACATGTGTATCAGTTGTGTTAAAAGCATAATCTAACTTTCATGAACAAGTTTATGTATTCTACTGTTGTTTTGGAACATGTGTATCAGTTGTGGAAGAAGTCTATTTTGTGGAATGTATAAGTTTATGTATCCTGCTGCTGCTGTTGTTTATGTATCCTGCTGTCATGAATTTTATGTTAAAAGCATAACCAACTTATAGGTACTATGAAATGAACCTAAAAGCAGAACATGTCATGAACTTTATGTATTATGAAATGGACCTGTCATGAACTTTATATTACTGCAATCATGTCTAATATGGTGTAAAAATGCAGACAAAATTAATAGACCAAATTAACAAACCAACTTTCACAGGTCTATAACAGACCAAGTAAACAAAAAAACATAACACACCAAATATATCATTGACAGACCAAATTAACATAATCTTTAACTGTTGGTTATGCTTTGACAGACCAAATTAAAAACACTTTGACGTGATATTTATCAATGCATACCAAGTTAACATTATCTTTAACTGTTATATTCATGTGGAACTAATACAATCCAAAACTAAAACTGATACATTTATGTTGAACTACAAAGAGTGAAATTAACTAAACTGATATAATTCATATATTAGAATCCAACTATTACATTCATGTTAAAGTGATACAATCCAAAACTGATACAAATTTTAACTGAACTTAAACCTAATTCTTACAACCAAAACTTAACTTAATTCTTACAAACAAACCATAACATACTACTTCCAAACAAACCTTAATACCCTAACTACTCCTAACAACTAATACAATGATAATCATCACAAACATCAAATTCAAAATCTTTTTCCACTTCATGATATTCTTTATTTCACTTTCAAGTTTCATCAGCTTTTTCCCTAATTCTCCATTCTCCATTGTCACTTTTTCAATGTCCTTTTTTGCTTCAGCAAGTCCCTTAGTTATCACACCTAGCCTATGCATCCAAAATTGCTCCTTCTCATCACCAATCTCCTCATAAAACCAACCAAAGAAGTCACAACCAGCTTGCATACCTTCCTGTAAGTTTCATTGTTTAGAGGATGATGGATAATGAATTTAAACTTAAACAAAAATATAACTTATAATTTGGACAGAAACAGAAACAGAAACATAACTTAATAAAAAGTAGAACTTCAACAGATAACAAAACCAGTTTGCATACCTTATAATTTGGACAACCCCGAAAAAGTTTTCTCATATTCTTAACAGTAGTTGCCCTTTGAAGAACAATCATGTCTCTACAATAGCATATGGACTTCCATCGTGACCTACTACAAACATCCGAATCTCGACTCTTCGATTTCGAAATGGAGGAGGAACATTCGGATTTCATGCTTGCCAAATGAAAAAACCCTAGATTAATTTAGGGATTTGGAATTGGGATTAATTTAGGGATTTGAACGGAAGGAGGAAGGAGAAGGAAGTAACATCATAAACACAATTGACCGGTCATCTACCAGATATACAAAATAAACGGACATTTGGGAGCAACTGACGGTGAGGACTAAAATGACATCATTTTAAAAGTTAAAGGACCAACTTGACACTTTTTAAGATAAGGGATCAAACTGGACCCCGAGGTAAAGTTAAAGGACGAAAAATGGGTATTTTGCCTAAACCATGACATCTTATTTTCAAAACATGATGACTAGAGGAATAAACAGATTGATTTTTATGATTTAGATTGGTGTGAAGACAAAGTAGGAAGAAAAAAACACAATGTGATATATGTTCAAATTATTTAATTTTTCTATTTCATGTTGTTGAAAAAGAAACAATGATGGTTCTGTCTTTTCGATGTATCTTCAGATGCAATTCAACATGTCAAAAGATTGTGGTTGTGCATCCGTGTTGATTGAAATATAGACACAATGGAACTAATGATAGAAAAGAAATTAATAGGGATCAAGTTTCACTTTTTTAAGATTAAATAAGCAAGTGCAAAATTACCCTAACATAATACATAATTGAGGATCGGGTAGCATATATTCTAATCTAGCCATTCAAGACTGAAAAGTTCAATTAGTTAAATGATTCAAATCTAGTTGGTTAAATTAGTTAAATTATTTACCATAAATATAACTAACTAACTAAAACATTGTTAACGTTGGTAAGTTCAAGCATATACTATGTATAATAATTATCAGTTTATTAATGAATGTAGCATAAGATGTGAACCTTAACGATGGTTTTTGTGTTGCATATTATTTGCATGTGTTTTGGATAGTATGTATGGTCAAGATATGCATTCCAGTTCCTGCAATTTCTGTCTCTATACATTCAAGGGTTTTAGTTGTTTTCTTTTTGTAATAATCATCATTATCCAAGTATAAAAATATTCCATCCATTAGAATTGGTTTGATTATACATAATAAATTAAAATTACAAATCATCCTATCATATTAAGTAATGCAAAACTAGATATATTATTAGGATTCAAAGTTTACCGTTTCTATGTTGGAATTGCAAAATTGGTTTGTTCCACATATTGAAAGCAACCAGAAATATTGACCATAATAAACCCCATCAAAATCATGCCAATTCCAACCCCTATAGCCAATACACAACAATTTGAACAAGAATCCTTTTCCTCCGGAAGATCATCAACTTCTTGTCCTCCTTCGTTATCATTCATACAAGAACTGGAAATTGAATCTTTTTCAAATAATGGATTAGAATGTATTGTAAAAGTGGTGCTGTCCCTTTCATTAAAAGAGTTCCTCAATGATTCCAACTTTTGTGTTGAATCAGCAGATACGAGGTTTCCTATGGATGTAAATTTCTGTTGAATGTCTTCATGTGAATGTTTTTCCAGACCACCTAGTATTGCATCTTCCAACATTGATTCCAGGGCTTTCAGATTTCTCTGCAAACTTGCTTTTTCAGAGGAATTTGAAAACAGTGGTTTCATTAACTCAACCGTTTTTTCCCATTATTGCCTCTAACACCATATGTATTCATGCTTCCATATATTTAATAAATATCCTACTTTCAACAACTAAATTATTAATCAAATTAAAATTCTCGTCTTATCAATGTTTTTCTTAATCATAAACCGACTCATATTTTTCTCCAAAGTCTCACTGCCACCTAATCCATCATTACGAATCATATCAGTTTATTTACAACGCATTCTTAGTATATCATCTCATTAAATAGATACAAAAATAGGTGGATATTAGATCAAGACAAATACTTGATGAAACATCCATAGCTTCATATTCTTAAACGCATGAGAAAATTCTAAATTTATTTTAAATTTATTTTTTTCTTTATAATTTGAAATTATGGGGTAGTTATGATATGAAGGAAAAAAAAAGTTGTATTTTTATTTTTTAATTAATAAACAAAATTTGATTGGGTGTGTGTATAACCATGTGTTATGGTTGTTTTCACCTAATCATTATTCTTAAATCAAATAGAGTTTTAATCGGGTGAAGTGAGTTTGACAAATTAACCTGCGATCCCCATTCCATATCTGGTACTCCATATTTTTAATATTTCAAAAATATATTTGTTAATATTTAGCTAAACATTTTTACCAATTTTCTCATAATTTTCATTTTTTTTATCTAAAATTTCAAAATTTCCAATAGTATGTTTGAAATTTCTGGTATGTATTGTTGTGCAAATTTTAAAAATTCACGTGTATACATCGAAAATTTCAGAAAATCCAGTATATATTACTGAAAACTTGAAAATATCTGTTGAGTAACATAGTCTTTTAGTAACGGTATCTGAAATTTCAACACTTCTAAAAATTTTGCAATTTCCGGTATACTGAAAATATCGCTTGCAATTGAAATTTTCGATAACAAAGGAGTAAGTCAAAAAATATTGTCAACATTGAGCAATGGTATAACACTTCATTTAATGTCAACTTGCACGTTTTTTCAAGGCATTGTATACAACATATACGGAAGGAGCTAGAAAGGGTAAAATTTGTTGGTACAAGCAAGGATATTTGTGGTTGCATTATTAGAACTACACATAGGTTACCTTGTGCGTGTCAACTAACTAATTTTCAAATACAAGAATTGCATGTTCCTTTAGAACCAATTCATGTTTTTTTGGAAGAAATTACACATTCAAGAGCATGTTAACGGCCAGGACGATAGTGGCACAATGCTGGATTTAGAGGCAGAGTGTAAAAATTTAAAGACATATTTCAATTCTTTGGATATTGTAGGCCATAGTGTGTTGAAAAAAAGGTTCGGGAACTAACACATTCATCCACAACTTCTCTGTGTCCACTGCTGATGAAATACAAGTCAAAGAGGGGAGTTAAGAAATGCAGAAAGGGTGAAGAAAGTGATGTACATCGTGATCCCTCACATTGAGAGTATGGTGAGAGCTCGTAGGGGAGTCAGCCTACAAAGTGATCATGCACAAAACCAACATGAAGTCAACCTTCTAGTATGTCGAGTCAAAGTCAACCGTCCACTGCATCTTCGAGACATCTTTGCTTGTCTCGGTTTCCTGATTTCTTGCATCCATACATTTATGACAATGATGATGTGGATGACGATGGAAATTGTGGTTTTCGGGCTACTGAAGCTTTACTTAGACGGGCGCAGACTCATGGTCGTTCGTTCGGACGCAGTTGGATACTCAAGTTCATCAATACCCAAAATTATTTTCCAATTTGTTCTATGACACGTCTTAAAAGTAGAACATTGGGTGTGCAGGACAGAGAAAAATGAATGTCGATTCCTGATATGGGTTACCCTATTGCAAGTAGGTACAGTGTTGAATTTGTCTCCATGTCACATAGACTTAACATTACCTTTTTCCCTCTTACCATAGCTCCACCTATATATACGAGCAGACATAAAATCATTGTTGTTGGTTTTGTTAACGACAATCATTGATTTCAAGTAAAATTAAAACTTGATAGTCCATTGTCTCCCGTCATTGACCGTTGGAGACAAAATTGTACTGAAGATGTAAAAGCATCATAATCAGTATATGTAGGACGAATTAGGCATTGGGAGGAAGAACTTAGGAAGTCATTTAATTTGCTGTGTAATCTTGTGGATATTATGTATTTATTATATGTGAAATCATTTATGCAGGGCAATGTGTCAAAAACATTGAAAAATTTCATTTTTGGGATATTCTAGTTGTATACCAGAAATTTAAAAAATCTGATATACCAGAAATTTACAATTTTCGATAGTATTTTTCGTTTTACGTAACTACCGATTATCCGGTATAACTTCACCGGGATTTTTGAAAATTCGGGTAGTCAATACTTCAAATTTCAAAATTTTTGGTATGTGTCTCAAATATACGTTCAATCACGATAAATTTTTGGAAATTTATGGTATCCAACTGAAAATTTCATGATTTTGAAAAAATTTTGATCTGACTTGATCAGAAGGGGGTCGCTGGCTGCCACACGTCTTTGACTTACTGCCTGTTCACCAGTGTTGAAGAAGAGGAAGGGGTGTACCTGCAAGACACTCCGATGTCAAAGTAAGTGTATGGGCAGAGTGGTCACAAGTACAGAAAAAGGGGGTAAGAAGAGATTACATGACCCTCTTGTGAAAGAAGGGTATTTATAGAGAGACCCCAGCACAGGGCCAACAATCATTTGAGTTAGGTTGGATGGCCAAGCCCAACCCAAGTGACTGATAGGGCTTACGTGGCGTAGTGAAGACCAGAACGTGGTCTTCGCCCTAGTTCAACTGTCTCGTGATCTCCGAAAAGTGGGTTTGACCTGCTCTTTCGGAGGTGGGCAGTTGGTCGGTGACGTGTCCCCGCGGAGGGGAGCACGTGAAGAACGTGTGGAGGACACGTTGTTCTGCCCACGAAGGGAGAAGGTCCTGCCCGCGGAGGGTGGTTCTACTCGACGGGGCAGTGTCTGATCGACGGGGAGTCTTGGGTTCGATGCAGATGAGGAAGGTTCTGCCCGCAGAAGGATATTACCTGCCCGTCGGGGACCCTGTGCTCGACGACTGTGGCCCAAGCTGGATTGGGCTTGGCAGAATATTATTGGGTTGGGTCTGCCCAGTCAAGCCGGGGCCCAGGCCAGAACAAATTTTAAAGGACAAAAATAGAATCTCACTAGAATTAAGGTGTCAGGTATAAGTAGGGAGCAGGTTAATTCCTCTGTGAGATTCCAATACGGGAAGAGAGTGTGGCCCATGTTAATGAATGAGTAAAAAATAGTTTGACTCATGTTAATGAATGAATTTAAAAAAATATATTAACTGTGTGATTAAGAGAATACTTATAAAATGACATTTATTGTGTGTGATTAAGAGAATACTTATAAAATGACATGTATTGTGTTTTATAGTGTACATGAAAAGTTTTGGAAAAAGGGAGATCCCTTCGTGGTGGTTGGCCAGAGACGATACGGTCGGGACAAAATATTTGCCCCATCAAACCCTTGTTGTAAAGATAGGTGGGGCCAGAGAGGATACGGTCGACACAAAATATTTGCCCCATCAAACCCTTGTTGTTGTAAAGATAGGTGGGGCTTGATATTTTATCCTCAAATGCTGACCACCCCCTCATCACTCTAAGATCGATGAAGGAGATGCATTTTAGTTTATTTAGAGACTCAAGCATTTAATATATCATATTTCAAATGTCTTTTTGAGAATATCATCATTATGATTCTTGAGAAGTGAAACTAATATATCATATTTCAAATGTCTTTTTGAGAATATCATCATTATGATTCTTGAGAAGTGAAACTCTCGAATGTGTAAGTGATTAGACTCTCGAATATTATGTGTAAGTGATTAGACGTGTTTTGATAAAACCTCTTTATATACTATTTGCATGTCATATATATAAAAGTTATATGTTAAACAAGAAGTCTATAACAAATCAATTGAGTTTTTGGACTCTAGTACAAATTTCTTATGTATATATTTCCGTTTTATTTTTATTTTGATTTCACATGAATTTTAGAATTTCGAATTTAATGTCTGTTATTTGGTCTCTTAATAATTTCGAACAATTAACTCTTATGCTCTTATTCTAAATGTTAAAATTTTCATTAGTTTGTACCTAATCAAATTACAATTTAGATATAAATGTGAAGCGAAAGCCCGTAGGAAGCACATGCATCTTTTGCTAGTTTTGCATAAGAAATACACACATGCAAGAATACTCCAACACGATGTTTACAACATGTATTCCTCCCTCCGTCTCTCCAGATTCCAGGGAGGCACAAGGCATTTGCAGAGCACCTAAAAGCCATACTTACAAATTTCTCAATCAATGACTTTTTATCAATGGTGACTCCAACAATTTAAACCATAAACTTTTTTTCTTCTTATATTAACAAGGAACAGTCTAGTGCATAATGAAATTATAGAAAAAACATAAAGCACGCGTGATAAATGTGCATTGATATAATTGCTGATAATCACATTGGATACAAAACAATTACATCTGTAAGATGAAAAAAAAGTCACCCAACAATGACCCCACATACCCTGTAAGGGAATAAAATTGGACGCATATTGCCTATGGCCTTCAGATGACTGTGATAACAATACTTATCTACAAACCTATAACATTCCAACTAAATCACTTGAAAAGGGATGTGGAACAGTTGTTATAAGCAGAAAAAACTGAATGCGCCCATCCTAGGAGAATGCATAATTGTGGTTAAAATCATATGTAGCTTTATCTAATATCTTGAACTAGATTGTGGAGGCGCGGGAGGCAGCCGATTTGGTGTCCGTCGACTGCCAGAATTTGATCCTGAGATTGGATCGCCATTTTGGGATGGATCACTGTAGCGTCTACTGTGACCACCAGAACCATACCTAGATAATGAGTCACTTGAACCATTGGCAGCAGCATCAAATGCAGATCTCCAATCATCACCCGATGATGGTCCAGAGCTTCGTGGGCTGCTTTCTGTATTAATTTGTTTGTCAAAATCAAATGAAAAATAATATAAATAAATAACAGCCTATAGACTCAACTGATGCATATGCAGAATCTGTGCAACAGACATTATAAGTCGCAATCAACGTACTAAATATATTTAATCACTTTTATGTTCCTAAATAATGAAAGTGAAATTTATAAACCATCATCTTCATCTTTTTTCTTGATAAATTACAGAACTTAAAGTTCTTCCCAAACAAATAACATGCCTTATAAGCTTTCATGTTTTCATGTGTAAAACGGTATGTCAAAAAATTTCAAGAACTTCAAGTTCTTCCCAAATAAATAACATGTCACCTAAGCTTTCATGTATAAAACGATATGCTAGGAAATTCCAAGAATGCACCTCAAGCAAATTTGTAGATACCTGCTGCATTGCTTCTATCAGACCAATTGGATGCGGCAGCCGCTCTGTTGTCATGGACACCTAGCTGCCTAGTAAGTTTTGAAAGAAGGGAAGACTGTTTTTGAGCACGCTCCCTTCTACGCTTGACATTTTGATCCTCCTGAAGCAGTTCCTCAATTCGAGCTGAGCTTACAGCGCTGCCAAACACAGCACGAAAAAGAAAAGAAAAAATGTACAATCAAATGTTTCATTGCTAAAGAACAATCGTAAACAAATGAAATCTTTACGATAAATTGAATATCTCAGATGAAATATTATTATTTTTTGGAAATAAAAATAAATTTATAAGACAAAATAAAAGGGAAAGTACAACTACGGAAGGGATAAGTTCAAAAACAAGAAATCCAAACAGAAAACTATAGATAAAAGAAAGAAAATGCAACAAAATTAAATTAAATATACTGCAAACCTACCCAATCTGTCTACATAACATAAATGGGAACTCCATTGGGATAACCATGAGCAAAAACATCAAACAGAGGCACCAAATTTATGATCTACATTCCAAATCAAGTATAGGGTTCACAAGAAACATCCTTAAAGATGCGAAAATATCACCCCAGCTAAATAAACTTAGCAACTGCATAAACTACTCACTTAGCTTCCTTGTATCTAACCTAAGTCTCTTAACACTCTACAGAGCAAAAAAAAATGCACAAGAGCATTCACACTATGATCATGTATGTGTATGTGATCGGTATCACATTATGGTTGCATGAACTTTAATGTTTTGATGAGTTAAAGGAGGGAATGTGTGAAGGATGTCAGTACACCAAATAGTAATTCACTTAATAGTCATCAGACAATAAGGCAAAAAGAGACAGCACTAACCTGATAGAACTGTATAACTGATTAAGCATGTCTTCTTTAGCTTTCTCGACTTGGCAAAGAACAACTGCCTGCTCACCCAAAACTAACTGATCTCACAAACAGAAACAAATCTGAACAGAAGAATTATGGAAGTCAATAAAGTTAACTCACTTTTGGAATATTGGCAGCAAGGCTGTTGAGAACAGCTTCAACATAACCACGCACTTCCTGAGACATCCATCTCAGCTCTTCTTCTGGATCAGCAGGTTTTCTAGCCATTGTATCCTAAAATATTTAGCAGCATGAATAAGTTGTTATGCAAATTGGTTCATGGTTGTAACTTTTGAAAAACTAAAAGTAATAGGTAAAGGATTCTATTCTATGTTCAAAGGCATGGCAATTCATTTCAATGTAAGTATCTTCATCATAAGGAGGCAGTCAAGTGAAAAGGGCACTCAACAAATGAATCCCAAACAACCAAAGAAATATGTCAATCGTTGATAGGGGGCGGAAACAAAATTCACATGTACAATTGGCTACTGTTAAATGAATTGCATAAATGAGAACGAACAAGTAAAATAATTACTTACAAGGGAACCATCAGAAAGACTCTGTCGCATGGGAAAACTAGGTTCACCAATTGCTTGGCCCCCTTTGGCATGTGCAACATTTCTCAGCTTGTTGATCCACTCAACCTTATCTGCCATGCTCTCAGCCTTCAACAAAACTGTACTTTCAGCTGCAAAATGCATGTTACAACATTGACATGCCAAACATGGTTTATATATCCTTATGGATTTGAAAGAGGTAGGAGAAGACATCACAAATTGGAATTCAAGTGACTACCTTTCATAACAGTCTTATAGGGGATCTTGCTCGTTATCTTGAAAACAAGGTTAGCTGCCTTTCCAGGATCCGGTCCATTCGACTTCTTATCCTTGGAACTCTTTGTAGGGGCTTCACCCTCATCAGACATGTCATCAATATTGCATTCCTGATTAGACAATAGTCATCATTCCAATCAACTTCCAAGTTCCAAACCTTCAAATAAGCATTACGTCTGAACCGTGATTATATGCCTCTACAAATATGAGGCCTAAAATATATATGAAACCTATCCTCACGTGAGTCAATATCCATAAAAGGACCAAATCACTGCATAATACAATAAAAAGACTTTTTTTAACTGATTACGCTGTGTGGTTATTTGACTCTTGTTATATTCAATGGCAGAAAGTGATGCGTAGCAGCTGACCCCAAAACACTATAGCAGTATAACGAATAATTGTATGGCCGTTAAATTGAAGCTTAGGGATATAAGACAATAAATTTATACCATAGTGCCACAAAAATAAAAGCTAAAAAGTAGAATAGACAAAATTAAAGACATCTTTATAACTAATAATGAAAGCTCGTTAATATTTAATCCCAACATAAGCAAATACGTTTTAGGGTGAAACAACCAAAAAGTCTAAAACATAGGGAACGGCTATAAGTTGAAGGAACATCACAGCAGCGGTTGCTACAACCGCTTGACTGCTGCAGACACTACTAAAAATTGCAATGTAACATAACAGGGTTTTGCGTGGCACCTGAGGTCACCACGCTTTGCAATGCTGCTATTGACTACCAAGGCTATTGATTCTCTCAAAAACAGTAGATGTTAAAGCTCATGAGCATTCTAGAATAATTCAAGAAATCCATACCTCTAATGAAATTACTCCTCGGAAATGTCTTTCTTCTTGTTTTTTGGTATATCCAAGCTGGCAAAAAAACAGCCAAACCATCAAGTGTTAGAAAGCATTAATCGTTGGCCACCCACCAAATCAGTCCAAGAGATAAAGGGTGTCTAGAAAAAGTTATTCAATGCCTGAGTTTATGGTGTGAGTAATTATACTCAAGGGAATGTACTTTGAAATACGATGGTCAAGGCAGCTTGCCTTAATCCATGCAACAAATTTAGTCAAGACCCCTATTAGATAAATTAAATTAATCACAAGATTTCATTTGAAATCTTAAGCTTTAGTAACATGGGAATAAAGCCCCTATTAGCAATTGGTTAAGAGCATAATCCTTGTCACCCTGATTATCCTTAATAAAAAAGTTGAATTTCAATTCAACACAAGAGTGGATTCATTTATTGTCCACGCTTCAAGTTCAAATACAAAATCTGTTGTATATAAAATATTCATCCATAGTCTGATAGTCTAAACAATATATAATAATACAATATCAATCTCAACCCCGAATTCAACCGCAATAGAAAATCGAATATGATAAATTTACTAACCTTGCCACTCTTTTCGTTTAGAACAAACCACCGTTTACTCCAACCACCTTTGCCGCTATTTTTCAACAGATAACCTGCATTTAGTTATAGACGTTACAGAAATTAAATCAAAATACTAAACTTGAGAATTAAAAAAATATGACTCCTTACTTTAAAATGGATACGATAGAAGAAAAAACAAAAGGTGGGCCTAGAAAGAAAGGGAATGTATAGAAACTGTCATGGTCCTTAGGTCAAACGAATACCCTACTTTAATGGATCATTATAATGAAAATTAAATTAAAAGGTTAATATATATTGATATCCACCTACAATACAACAGCTAGGTGGAGATGGTCACACGGATCAAACAATGCCTCTTGTATTGGAATTCTTCAACTAGAAGAATTTACACACACACACACACACACACACATATGGAGACGAAGAGAATGATTTTGAGTATCTGAAAACAAAATTGTATTGATTGATTTATTTAGTGTAAAAATCGTAGTAATTATTATACATTGAATGAGATAAGAAATTATAACTACTTCTAACTAAGCTTAACTGCCATAACAGAAAGTCAGTTAAGCTTTCCATTTTACATGATGGAGATACTAGAAAGTAAACTCTAATAAACTGTATTCTGTCGAGACTTAATTGGAAAATACATAGCAAAGGAATCCTATTTTTTGTCTTTTCTTTGTTTAGAAACTGAAGAATCTTCTGAACTTTTCATCTGTATGCATCATAAATTTAGTGACTAAACTATCAGCCATTACTCAGATGTGCCAAGCAACATTTGGAAATATTTGCAAGAGGTATTAGATATTGATGACTCGAGCAAATTAATTAAACTGTTTTGAAAAAGGCGAATACTGAAGCTCCAGATCTAGATAAGAAAATTGATATTAATAAAATATGAAAAGGAAGCCACATACTTAATAATGGGACGCAGACTGAACAGAGATACCACAGTGAAAATTAGACATAGAATACAAAATTTAGGATGAATGCCAAAAACCTGCTGTTATCTCCCCATCGGGCCCGGCAACCTTCAAGCCAGATGCCTCTTGTGTATCCTTGTCTTGCTGACTGGATTTCTCTTTCATTGATTTTAAGTTTCCTCCACTTTGTTGACCTGATTGAGGACTAGTTGCCTAGAAAAGGAAACAAAACAAGCATCTCATACATAAAAAGCCAAAATTTAAACATGTGTGGTATGTGTTACAAATTCAATCCAGCAGTTTTTAAAGTAAATGGTCCCACACCCTATTTAGAATTGACTGTTCTGCATCAAGTGGCTTTTTGGATGGCCGGTTCTTTAGCTCATCTTCTCGACGTTGCCTTTCCATTCTAATGAAATTAGTTGACAGTGCTAAAGCATATTAAATTAACATATATGCAGCTGAAGTCGAACAGTTATAGATGTTAGTGAACATACGAAATTATATGATCATGGCATTGACATAGATACAGAAACCAAACCTCATTTAGCCATAACTGTCCATTAGCCCAACAAAAAAGTAGAATTAAGAACTTATCAATCTATGCCCTTACAAACTAAGTGGAAGGACAATCTAAGCCAGTTCTTAAATTCTTCTTGCCAATAACACATGGATGTTGTAATTTAGTTTCTGAAATACATCAAAGTTCTTTCAGGAAAACGTCTCATTTATGAATACAAAATACATACTCAGATAGTTGGTTACTCATTCGTTGATTGGGCAGACTAGGCAATTTACTTCTGGTTATTGCGTACTAGTTGGAAGAAGCTTGATATCTTGAAAAAGAAAAAAAGAAAATGTAGTTGCAAGATTCAGCGCTGAGGCAGAATACCGGGTCATGGCACTTGGCACTGGTAACATGTAAGGTTATTTGATTGAAACAATTACTTAAAGAGCTTTAACTTGAAGAAGCAAGACCAGTGACACTAATTTATGATGATCAAGTCGCATTGCATATTGCTTAAAATTCAATATTTTACTATAGGACCAAGCATATTGAAATAAATTGTCATTTTGTTAATTCCAATGATCAAGTTGTGGATGTTTTTAAAAATCTCTATGAGGTCCTAGAATCAATTGTATATGTAGCAAGTTTGGTGCATTTGATTTATATGCTCCAGCTTGAGAGGGAGTGTTGGTGTTTAAATATAGGAATATTTTGTAAATATAGAAATAACATATTCTAGAATATTCTCTTGTAATTAATGTTGAAGATTGTATATTGGTATATTCTTGAGTCTATATAATAGAACTCCATGATGTAGTTGAGACACGGTCTCACCAAATGCCTCTCGCTTTCTTCATTTTCTCTATTCAACAAATAGTAAAGGCTTTTAAGCCATTAATTTTTCTATGTAACCACTACTTCCCTTCACTTTATAGCAACTGACCAACAAGGTTTGGTTTCTTATTAGGAAAGAATGTGATGAATACCAAAGTGCTCATTCAACATAGTATTTGTTTTGTACGAAGAACCAATGTCAATTTGATAGCAACTTAAATAAAAGAAATGGAAAGTTGATAGCGAAAAGAAAAGTGCAGTGTTATTCAATGAATGATTAAGAATAGGAGAGATCTCTCCTCCAAAGATTTCCCCGTCACAAAGGATTTCTTTTTATGTGCAACAATCAAATTCAGAAAATGAATCCATTTACTATTTTTCCTATTTATTTAACTAAGCCTCCTCTAACTATTTATTTGACCTAACTAATTCATACAACTTAACTCCCCTTTATTGTTTATCCTAACAATGCACATTATTTTGTTTAGGAAGAAAACTTTATTCATCCCAATTCTAAAAGAGAAAAGGCTAGCTCGAAAGATTGGGGGCAGCTAATAATAAATGCATACACTCGGTAAGATTTCAATCAGGTAAGCTCACACAACAAAGCTACTTTAGAAATTAAATATTAAGAATCACATACATTTACTAATTCATTACTATTAAAATATATAATCATAAGAGTCCCTAGTGGGTCTAGAAGTCATATACCAATATCATATAAATGGTAGTGATTCTATTGAGTTTCAAATTCAACCTCGGGCTCGTCTATGACTCCCATAAATGGCATTAAGATTCCAAAATTCATAAATAAAGATGCAACAAGAGTCATGTGTTAAACATACCGCCTCTGCACTAGACGAATAAAATGTTGGGGTGGAACAAATGCACGTTCCATATCAACTAGTGCAACCACCATTTTCTTGGATTCATTTTTAAATGACTCCAGGGCAGAACTTGCAATTGCCACAATCTGAAATTGCAACAAATGAGATAAATAATTTCTAAAAGCAGGCCAAGTTAAATATAAATTACGGTAACCATAGTTACCTCTCTCTTGAATGGAGGATATCTTCCGAGACCAGGTGTAGCATTTGCAGCAGCAGAAACTAGATCCGCAAGCACACGATGTACCTAATTTGGTAGTTGTCAAAACAATTTCTGATAGTACACTGGTTTTTATTTGGGGGTTTTATCAATTTCTTACAAGGAAGTGCCACTTCCTATCAGTATCCGAAATATATAGTGTGCTATCCATTTGTGGCTCAAAAACCTTAGTATCTATTGAAACAAAACAAACAACACATTTAGAATCATACCTCATCGACACACAGGCGTGATGGCTCCTTTGCCAGTTCAAGAACACCTTTTATTAAGGACCTCAGACCTTTCTCTGGAGAGATAAGATAAGGTTGATATCCATCTGCTTCTAGGACAATCTGACATAAGCCAAAACAGATATATAAGAAACAATCGTCTCAAGAGAATGTGATGAAATTAAGTTCTACCAAAACAATAAGACAACTTTAATGAAGAAGAATTACCCTCTTGACATTGTTTATGTCAAAGTGTTTGTCAATAGGAAGTTGCTTGATCCTGTTAGGAAAATTTCCTTCAAAACTTGCAACTATTTTCCAACCATTACCCTGCAAGGAAACAAAGAGAGAAAATTAGATCAACAAAAAATAGTATTCTTGTGCTATACAGTGGTCTAGTCCCCTTCCCAACTTCTTTATTTGAAATACAAGGGAAAATAGATTATAACAAAGGACCAGCCTAGTATCAGTTTGATGAGTTCAAACATTTGAATCATTGCCAGAGCCAGTTTGATAAAAACACATATTTATGTTATTCCATTGTGGCTTTTTGTGGATTTTTAAATTCAGCATTTTCAAAGAATTTGATAGAAACCAATTGATATAGAAGGAGGAAATAGGGAAAACCCCTTTGGTAACAAAATCATATAAATAATATTGCAAAACTTCGAGAGTCTACACCTCCCTACTGCTAATCCCAAGATACCCTCTCTCAATCACCCTTTCTATTTATAGGCAACATCTCTCATTCTCCTAATTAATTAATTAATTCCTATTCAAACTGTAGTTATATTTGACAGTTATTTTTAATAAAAACTGCCTGCAAATAACAAAACTCCCTACTAATATTAACTAACAATCCTAATTAAGGGCCTGTATCTAGCAGAATGCTAGGTGCATCATAGGTACCTGGAACAGTTCTTGATGACTAGCTATTAGCTTTGGTGATTTTGGTATTCATAAAGTGGTTAAAATTTGTGAAACAATATGAAACATATGATACAGTTTGGTGTATTAGGTTGAAGTCGAGCTCTTGTATTTTTAAGGAGGACACTTTGGCACACCACTTGATTAGGGATAAGAGTACATGTTTGTTTTCTGTTATACTCCCTCCGTTTTAAAATGATTGTCATTTAAGGTTTTTGCACAAGAATTAAGAAATGCAATAATATTGTCATAAGACATGACACTTTTACTAAATTAACCTTATTAATGTGTTGGAAGTAGTGTACAGAGTAATAGTTAAAAAACACAGTTGAAAAAATAGGAATCATTTCTACATTTAAAAGTGAGATTTAATGAAGAAACGGTGTTAAGAAATGTGGTTGGGCCTAACTCAACCCTACAAAACCGGTTGGTAAGGTGAGGATTGCCCCCACTTATAAACACATGTTCATGCCATATATTGTCCGATGTGGGACTCTTAACACACCCTCTCACGCTTAGGACTGGACAACTGAAGCGTGGAAATAAATGGTGGGTGGCCCGATAGTGGAAACCATAGAAGGTGGCTCAACGGATCTTAAACCAGACTCTGATACCATGTTAAGAAATGTGGTTGGGCCTAACTCAACCCTACAAAACCGGTTGGTAAGGTGAGGATTGCCCCCACTTATAAACACATGTTCATGCCATATATTGTCCGATGTGGGACTCTTAACAAACGGTGTAGCAAAAAATCAGTTTTTAGTTGTTCAATCCCCTTTAATGCTTAATCATCTCTTGCTCCTAAAGGATATTCCTCATCAAAGATTTTTGTTAGAAATTTCAGAATATTTAATGGGGTATCATTATTTCTTCTCAGAGTACATAAATTATCCGGGATGATCTCGTAGCATTGGTTTTCATATTTAAATGTATGTCTTTATTTAATTTAGTTATGACAATGAGTCTTCCCTAGTATAACTAGATCTTAGCGATTTGTTACATATTCATCACATCATTGTACACGAGGATATTATCTATACTCTCTTCCTTCTTTCCCTCCTAAATTTATTTTCCAACACTTACTATAAATTTTTAAGCAAATAAATTTGTTTATGAAGGGGGAGAAGGAAAAACATGTCGATTGAACAAATTATGCTAGTTTCATATCCAATAAAAAAACCTTGTGAAATAGCTCTTGCTGAGCACACAGGTTAATTTTATCATACCATCCAAAAAGAGTGAAAATGTTAAGAAATTATCCTTGAAAAGTTTTGCTTTAATCTATAATTAAATTAAATGGACTGATTCATGGCGTAGATTGCATGGTGCCAAAATCAACACAACCTTGCTGCTAGACTGTGTAAAAATAAATAAATAAAACTACTGACCTCGCCTCCAGTGAGATGTTGAAGAAACTTTTCCTCAAATTCACGACATAACTCCAAGCCTAGAGCTCTTGTACCTTCAGAAGTACTAACCATTTGTTCACCGAGCTTCACTAACTCATCCTGAACAACTTGAGACTTCCCCTGAAGGCTGCAGCAGTTTAAATGAAGGGTTATCGTGGATTGTAAGATCATTTAAACTCCGAAACACAGACAAAAACCAGGCTAGTTTCTCTTTTATAGCAGACATTGAGTGTGAACAGTAAGACAGGGAACATGTACAAGATATGAAAAACCAATTCACTTTGATGTTGGCAATGTGTTTCCTGCGAGATCATGAGTGGAGAAGGAGCAAGTGGAACCCTCGACAACAAACAATGAGAAATAGTAAGCTAGCCAAAAATAAATACCCAGTGAGGAGTGTTGGAAGCCGCAGCTTCATACGATTGCGGATCTGTGCAGCAAGAGACTCAACCAAAGCAATTCTACCAAGCTTGCTTTGAGGGGCTCCGGTCAGTATTGATTTCAAACTTTCAGTTTCAGCTCGCCAAGCAGTTTCCAACGAGCTCTCAGGTGCACCACTCCCAGACTGTGCAGAAGCTAAAGAAACAGACTGGCCTATCAAAGCAACCCACGGAATATCAGATGTTTTTGGAGGTCCCTGGTCCAATAGGAGTGCCTGCACAGCTGCAAGGGCTTTTGGTTCTGCGGCTGCCTGGTCAATTTTACTGATAACACCGACTGTTCTGGTGGCTATAGTTGAAAAGAACATTAAAAAAAAGTTAAATAAACAGGCACTATATGGAATATATAAAACGGATTTCTTAAGTTAGATGTTTAATAGTTTCAAGGACCATGCACCCAAAAGCTATAAGTTTTTTGGTGAAAGATCGAGAATGGCCTTATATCCTAACACAACTTCATGCAACTGCCCGTTCAGTTTTAAGTGTAGAAACTGCATACACTCACTCTTTTTGCACAGAAACTCAACTTTATTTACAGAAGAAAAAAAGAGGGTTGCAAACATTAATACAAACTCCTAAGCCTAAGAAGTAAGCCATTCAGATTAGGGTATCATGCTTAAGCTTTTATGCCGAGGGTCAAGATTGGTTTTATACTGCTGACAAATAGCTATATTTTTTGGAAGGAAGAAGAAGGAAGACTGAAACAAAAGATAAAAGCTTACATTCTGCATCGTATTCTTTTGCTACTCTAAGGGCTCGTAATGATGAAATTTCTGGTGCCTGAGCTGCAGGAACTACTACCAGCAAAATAGCATCGTTGTGCTCGACATATTGGCTGATCTAAAATGATAAAAAAATAATAAGAAATCAAAGTTCTGTAGAAGAAAGTAGACAAAAATAACTGTAGATCTAAGAAAAAGTTAAAATCCAACACATCATCCACCATCAATAGAGCATGGAGGTGGTACTATTATAACTAACCGGCCACAACATACTGGATACTTAAAAAGTTATGAGATGATATCGTATTCGTACTCACCATTTTGTCATCCACTATCCGCTGGTCCAATCCAGGCAAATCAATCAACTTCAACGGAGGTGCTGCAAAATTTTAGAATGGAATAAAGTAAATAAGTGTGAAGATGCAAATGCAAAGTTGCATGTTGAACCCTATTTACCGAAACAGACAAAGGAAGAGGGGAAACCCAAACACATTAATGTGATAAAGGACTTACCAGTACCAGTACGGAGTTTTAGACCTATTTCTTCACCTTTCTTGCTAGAGGAACCTTTGCTGAGCCTTTCCTGTAGAGAATGTCGAAGGGCACCTAGGAGCAAAAATAGTATTTACAAATAGAAATTGATTCATATCATAGAAATTCGACAAAGTTTTACGTTGACTATCAACGGCCTAACACAACCCTCTACTTTTATCCTGACTTGAGAGTAGCTATGCATATAAATGCTAACATAGGCAGGAATTATTAAATAGAAATAGAAATATAAAAAAGAGGTAAAGGTGGTTGTTTCTTACTTGCAGAAACCTGCTGAGATTTATTATCGATTTGGAGGATAATATTGGTGGCAGTTAAAGAAGTGTCTCTATTCAATTCAAGGCTAATGGGAGCTCTGGTAGCACCATTTTCACCGGTAGGCTGCAATAAAGTTAGTTAGTTAGTCAGCGGATAATGGAAATAATGAATTAAAGCATGAAATAGAAAGATAAAAATGGAAATACCAAAATGGGATGTCCAATGAGGCTATTCAATGCAGCAGATTTTCCAGCACCCTGATCCATCACCATCACAATCATCGGATTCAGAAGAATTGCATTTTGCAATAACATGAATGTGGATCAAATAAAAGGAACTTACGACATTGCCGAGACCAACGACGTTGAGGAAAGTGGAAGTGCGTCTGGATTCTTCGACATCTTCGTCGGCAAGGAGAGCGGAAGCTTGGCGCATAGATTCGGAGAGCTGAACCAATTCGTCGATGGCCTCCATCGGATCTGAAGTTAGGTTTCCGGCAACAGATTTGATTTCAATGCAACGAAACCGTTCGTTCGTGAATATAATAACCAGCTGAAGCTGTTAATTGCTTTTCTGCTATGCTTAACCCTCCTACTCTCTCTTTTCCAATTTTAATTTTCGCTACCACTTTTCTTCTTACAACTTACGTCCTTCTATTTCGCGCTTTCTATCTTTCTCACCGCTACCGTTCTCACTTATCACAATATTATGTTTATTATTCTCCATGCATCTCTTAACTTATTTCATTTCGTTTCGTATCTTTTATTTATCAAAAAAATTACAATAAAATAAATTTTTAATTATTAAAAGATATGTTTTGTTTTTTAAGGTATATATTGCGATTTATAATACAAGATCTCACACTTTTTTTTTAATTAAATTAGGATAAAAGAAGTATTTATGTATATATTTCACGATTAAATTAATTTATAATTGAAAAGATATTTAAAAAAATTCACGATTTAATCAAAAGTAACTTTAATTTCTTACACAAGATTCTCAAAAAATTTAGAGGACTATGTATACTTGACAAATGTCATGCGCGTGAAGTGTTTTCAATGAATAGTGAATGAATTGTTCTTAGATATCATGGATATCATGGGATCATGGGTGAGTCTAGTTTTGATATCTTTCACTAAGTTGTTTTAAGTATGGATGTGTGTTAGGATTTGTTGAAAATATATATGTTGAAGAATCTCACGTCGTTTAGTTTTATGAATGAAGAGTTATGATTGATCTTATAACAGGTTTTCTCTACCCTCTTGGTTGCGAAAGTGATGGTTGATCTTATACCAGGTTTTCTTCACCCTTTTTTTACTTTTGCCATTACACATTGAGGTGCGTCTGATTTGCTAAATAAAAAATATTGTACTGAACAGTACTAGACAGTACAGAACAATACAAGACAATTTTTTGTATTGTACTGTGTTTGATAGGATGCACTTGACAACTTTTTGTCTATTTTGTTATATATATATATATATATATATATATATATATATATATATATATATATATATATATATATATATATATATATATATATATATATATATATATATATATATATATATATATATATATATATATATATATATATATATAAAATCTTTACTATAATATTTTTATTGAAATATAAAATATTGATATTCATGAATCAAAATATTTGTAGTATTTGGATCGAACTCTAGTACCGATATGAGTAACTTCATGGTTTGACATAAGTTGTGTATGTTGTAGTGAAAGTTTGTTTGAGCATAATGTCAAAATATATTAAATTGTAATTTAAGTTAGTATGTCGAATTGGATATTGCTTCTAAGCTCAATTGTTAAGTTAATCGTATTCTAAGTTAGCTTAGTAGTCTATAAATAGAATAGTTATCTCAGGTTGAATAAAAACAGTTTTAACCCATTATTATTATTATTCTCTATATTTTGTAAAACTTAATGGGGTTTCTTGTGTTTGTTCAAGAAACTCAATAATTTTTTCATATTTTGGTTTGTCCTTAACGACATCAATTCACAACAAACTGGTGCGGTAAGCGTGGAGGAGGAGATGTCGTCAACAAAGTATAAGATTGAGAAATTCATTGGTGTGAATGATTTTAATGTGTGGCACTTGAAGATGTAAGTCCTTCTTGTTCAACAGGATTTGTTATAAGTGTTGAAAGGATCAGAGAAGATGGATGATGCCCTATCGAAAAAGGAGAAGACAACGATGGTCGAAAAATCTCACACTGTCATTGTGTTGAGTCTTGGTGATAAGGTTCTCCGGCAGGTTTCAAAAGAGAAAATTACAATTGGTGTGTGGACGAAACTTAAAGGTTTGTATATGAAGAAATCATTATTTAACCGTTTCTACCTGAAGCAAGCTTTGTATTCGTCTGAGATGAGTGAAGACAAAGTCTTGCATGAGTAGCTGGATATGTTCAATAAGTTGATTCTTGATCTTGAGAATATCAAGGTCAAGATTGATGATGAAGATCAAGCATTGATGTTGTTGTGCTCTTTACCTAAGTCTCATACTCACTTCAAAGAAACTCTCTTATATGGAAGAGAGTCGTTGACCTTTGAAGATGTTCAATTTGTCTTGTACTCTAATGATTTGAATGAACGAAAATAGCATAAGCCATTTTCTATTGCTGAAGGTTTGTCCGTTAATGGGAAATTCTTTAAGAAAGATGGTAGGTTTGAGAAGAAGAAGAGCAAAGTTCTACAAAATTCTTATGGTGGTAATGCTCATGCTATTAAGTGTTATCATTGTAAGAAGGAGGGTCATACAAGAAAAGTATGCTTTAATCAACTGAAAAATCACGGTGGAAAGGATAATGGTAATGCAACCATTGTGCAAGATGGTTATGAATCATCTATTGTCCTGGTGGTTTTAAGCATTGATTCTAGTAAGATATGGATTATGGATTAAGGGTGTACTTGGCACATGACTCCAAACAAAGACGTGTTTGAAGAATTGTGTGATCAATATGGTGGATCAGTGCTGCTGGGAAAGAACAAAGCTTGCAAAATTACAGGTATTAGATTTGTGAAATTCAAGTTCCATGATGAGTAAATAAGGTTATTGACTGATGTTAGGTATGTACCTGATCTTAAGGGGAATTTGATTCCTTTTGGTGAATTCGACAAGAAAGTATATGTTTTCAAAGGAGATCAAAGCATCCTAAGGGTAATGAAGGAGTCGAAGAAAGTCTTGAAAGGTGTGAAGAAACAAGGCGTGTATACCCTCGAGGTTAAGGTTGAGAGTGGTTCAACAGATGTGCCTCCCACGAAACTTGTGTCAAAAACTGAGGTATGGCATGAGAGACTTGGCCATGTTAGTGAAAGAGGCCTAGTCGAATTGTCGAAACAAAATCTGTTGGGTGGTGACAAGGTCGAAAAACTGGAGTTTTGTGAACCTTGTGTATTTGGTAAATCCTGTAGAATGAAGTTTAACAATGGTAAAAAAAAAAACAACACATGGATCCCTACATTCATGCTGATCTTTGAGACCCTGCAAGTAATTCTTCACACTGAGGTGCAAAGTATTTCATATCCATAATTGATGATTACTCCATAAAGTCATGGTTATTCATCCAGAAGACTAAGGATGAAATGTTTTAAAAGTTTAAAAGTTGGAAGACTCTGGTCAAAAACCAAACTGGCAAAAAGGTCAAGAGGTTGAGGACCAACAATGGTCTTGAATTTTGCAATGAAGCTTTCGACAACTATTGTGATGTGTATAGTATTGCAAGGCATAAAACTACTATAGGGACTCGCCAACAAAATGGTTTGGCTGAAAGGTTAAGTCGAACCATTCTAGAAAGGGTGAGGTGCGTGTTAGTAAGTGCAGGATTGAAGAAGGTGTTTTGGGAAGAAGTTGTTGTTACTGCAGCTTACTTGATAAATAGGTGTCCCTCGATAGCCTTGGGAATAAAGACACGTGAAGAAGTCTGGCCAGGACATCCACATAGTCTCGACAGACTTAGAGTATTTGGTTGTTTAGCCTATGCTCATATTAGGCAAGACAATATCGAACCTTTAGCTCTCAGATGTATGTTCCTTAGATACCTAAAAGGAGTCAAAGCTTATAAGTACTGGTGCCTAAAGCCAGGTCACAGGACGTGTATCACAAGTCGAGACGTATTTTTCAATAAGCTTTCAAAAAAACACATGACATTGGTCAAAGTTCAAAGATTTCTGAAGAAGAGCAGGAACAAGAAGAGATTCCTGTTGAGGTGGAGCATAATGATGCTGAATTGCATAACCTAGATGAAGTCAAAGAAGAATCTCAATTATTGATGAAGATGAGGAGACTGACAATGACTACCTACTGACAAGATATAGGTCGAGAAAAGTCATCAAGCTACCTCAGAGACTTGGTTATGTAGATCTTATAGCTTATGTGACTGACTAACTCTTGAGGTCCCTCGAAAAGTAAATCCAAATTCAACGATGAACAAACAAAAATAGTGAAGCGATAAAGATTTGGTTAACTATGCAGGCATGATTGACCTAGAAATGTTATGCAAGATGATGCATAAAAGGTGGGATCTTAGGGTCAAATCTAGGATGTGACAGGTTATACAACCCAACAAGAATTAATCCCTAATGTCCATAAAAAGAAGAAAACAAAACGAATGTGCAAATAAAAATATTGATCAAAGTTATTTAGGTATACCCTAAACAGGTCGTCGTTCCCGAAAGTTAGTGTGTTACCATTACCTACATAAATATTTTCCGACATGACCACTTTATGCTTTGTGTTCTTTTGTGATATGAAATTCCTTAAAGTGATTGTTTGTGTTTTTTAAAATAGAAAAAGTCGAGAGTAAAGGTTTATAGTCAAGTCTGTAGTGTAATCAATATCCTAGAGGGAGACTCCAATGTGTTTTCACAAAACATTTGGATTGACCTAGAATTGGAAAAATTAACTTTAGGTTGAATTGATCATGCACTCCTGTATGAGTATTTATATCTTGTTTTCGTGAAATTTTCTTTGAAAAATCATCGGCTTTGCTTAAATTCTTTCAATCCAGGCCATATTACTTAAGGGAAAGCAATAGTTTAAGTGTGCAAGAGTTTGATCATCAATGTTTTTACGGATTTTAGTTTTATCTCTATTTTTATATTTTATCTGCAGTTTACTCCCAAAGATGGGCATGTTTCACTGTGTTTTAACTATAGGGAATTTGACACTGACTGTTGAGGAAAAGAAAAGAAAAAGCACAAGAGGAGCGAGAAAACAGACGGAGTGATGATTGACTCGTCACGAGCATGACGCCCGTCATGGCTAGGAAAGACGATCATCGTGAGAGCAAGGAGAGAAACGATGAATCACACGTTGTAGCCATGACGGAAGACCCTTCATGGACCCAGACTCCATATTTTTCATTTTCCTTTTCCTATTTCAGTTACTTTTCCTGGTCTTTTTTGGCGGTTTTGCACGTCCAATAGTGGAGCTAGATGTCATTTAGTGGGGA